TTTTCTCCTAACCTGCACGTTGTCTTGCCACTTGTTTGATGGTCCCCTTAAAAGCACAAAACTTCTTGGGGCGCCTGGGTGGCTCAGTCGGTTAAGCTTCCGACTTCAGCTCAGGTCACGATCTCGCGGTCCGCGAGTTTGAGCCCCGCGTCGGGCTCTGGGCTGATGGCTCAGAGCCTGGAGCCTGCTTCCGATTCTGTGTCTCCCTCTCTCTCTGTCCCTCCCCGGTTCATGCTGTGTCTCTCTCTGTCTCAAAAATGAATAAACGTTAAAAAAAAAAATTTAAAAAAAAAAAGCACAAAACTTCTTAATTTTGATGAATTCTAACTTATTTTTTTCTTTTATTACTTGTGTTTTTAATATTATATCTAAGAAAGCTTTGCCTAACTCAAGGTCATGAAGGTTTAGTCTACATTTTCTTCTAAAAGTTTTATGGCTTAAATTCTTACATTAAAGTATATGGTCCATTTTGAGTTAATTTGTATGTATAGTGTGAGGTAGGGATCCATGTGTATAGCTAGTTGCCTCAGTGTCATTTGTTGAAAAGACTATTTTTCCCCCATTGAACTGTCTTAACACGCTTGTCAAAAATCAATTGACTATAAAAGTAAGGGTTAATTTCTGGATTCTCAATTCTGTTCCATTGATGTGTGTGTGTGTGTGTGTGTGTGTGTGTGTGTGTGTGTACATATACACAATCTGTTTTTATGTCTGTCCTTATGTCAGTACTGCACTGCCTTGATTGCTCTATCTTTGTGATAAATTTTGAAATTGAGAAGTATGAGTCCTCCAATCGTTTTCAAGATTGTTTTCGTTATTCTGGGTCCCTGGAATTTCCATATGAATTTCAAGATCAGTTTGTCAATTTCTGCAATGAAGTCAGGGGAGATTTTGATAGAGATTGTGTTGAGTCTGTAGATCAATATGCAGAGAATTCCTATCTGTAATCTGCTCAGGCTGCTGTAACCAAATGCCACAGATCAGATGTTTTGTTTCAACGGTTACCTTTATATTAATATCACAGGGTGTCATCCTTCCTCCTTTGTAACACTGTCCAAGGAACGTTCTGTAATGATGGACATGCTCTTTATTTGTGGTCTCCAATGGGAGCTACTAGCTGCATGTGGGGGCACGTGGGTGGCTCATTTGGTTAAGTGTCTGACTTCGGCTCAGGTCATGATCTCGCAGTCCACGAGTTCAAGCCCCACGTCGGGCTCTGTGCTGACAACTCAGAGCCTGGAACCTGCTTTGGATTCTGTGTTTCCCTCTCTCTCTTCCATTCTCCTGCTCACGCTCTTCTCTCTCTCTCTCCCAAAAATAAATATTTAAAAATATTAAAACAAAAAAAAGAAATGAAGTGTGAATTGTGGCCAGTGTAACTGAGAAACTGAACTTAAGATTTTATTTTAATGCTAATGAATTTAAAATTTAAGTTGCCACATACAGTTGGTGGCTACCATGTTGGACAGTGCAGGTCTTTTGGTTCCTTACTATGAACAATATTGAAATTAGTAACCTCTTCTTTCCCCTCTTCTTCTTCTCCCCCAAAGTACTTAAAGTGGTATCTGTTTAGTGCTAAATGGTACCTTTCAGGGCACCAGCAAGCTTACTTTCTATGTAATTTTTCCCTTCTCTCCCCAGTTTTGATAGCTGAATTACATCTTTGTTATCAGAGGATATGACAAATACATAGTGTTCTTCACCCTATGCCTATTAGTCTTTACAGTTAAATATATTCAGTGCTTCTCAGTAGCTCTTAGGAAAAGCTTCTCTAAACATTTCTTGGTTGTCTGAAGCATATTATTTAGTAGATTACTCAGGAAGGGCACACAGTCGCATTATTCCCTGATTCCCTCAACTTTATCACAATTTGTCTATAGCCTTCATACTTGAAGGGCATTTGGGCTGAATTTTAAAAAAATGGCTCAGAGTGCCTGGGTGGCTCAGTTGGTTAAGCATCTGACTTCAGCTCAGGTCATGATCTCATGACTTGTGAGTTTGAGCCCTGCATTGAGCTCTGTGCTGACAATGTGGAGCCTGCCTAGGACTCGCTCTCGCTCTCTCTCTCTCTCTCTCTCTCTCTGGCCCCCTCCCCAGTTGCACTCTATCTCTCTCTCAAAATAAGTAAATAAAAACCTTTTGAAGTAATGACTCACATTTTCTTTCTTGGGTATCTGTACTATGTTACTTAATTTTGTCCATTGTGTTTTAACTTAAAAGTATTGTGCAAAGGTGTAATACCTTGTAAATTACATGGTCATTTTACCTATGCCAAAAGGATTTCTATTCTGTAAATTCTAATAAAATTAACAGACAGTGCCTTGGAATTGACTGTTCTGGTCCAAGCACAACACCGTCCTGTTTAAATATACAGGTTCAAGTCAGTTTCTTGGTTTGTTTTCAGGAAAGTTTTCTTTCATAGTGGCTTATATTTGTTCACTTGACTACCTTTTACCTTCTGTCCTTGTGTTGTGTCAGGGGTGGGGCTGGGGAGGGGCCTATTATGCATATGTTGGATCTTCTTTGCCTCTCTTCTATCCATCACTTTCTCTTGAATCCTTTGATCTTTTTCTTCGACTGATTTTCTTTTTGTGTTTCCACTTTATACACTGTTTCTTTTTTTCTATCCCCGTTACTCTACTTGTTTTTGTCATTTGAGGAGACTGGAAAACCATGCCACTCTCACCACCTTGCCCCGATCCTTGTTGTACTTTAAAGATACTTTGTTACTCTTTTTTTTCCTCTCTCACCAAATAAGTTTATTTACAAAGTGGAAATACCTTTAGAAGCATACTAATTCTAAGAGATTCTTCTCCATCTGTCTATACCAGATGAGTCAACATGAACTGGTCCAGTGAAGTCATTGTCAGTGAGTGAATCCTCTTTGTGATAGCAAGTGAACTTCCAACGGCAAACACCATTTATAAATCTAAGTGTGATATTTTCCAAGAAAATGTTCTTGCAAATACTTTACTATAATGAGCATTCATAGTTTTGAGGTGAAAGCTTGGAACTATTAAAACTGAACATTTCAATAATATGGGAGAGCTCTTTGCACAAACTCAACTTTGGAACCTGGTCCTGATGATGATGTGGTACTTACACAGCAGGTTGGGTTGATTGAGGTGCTGATGACCTGGGCCTCAGGGCTTGGAGGGCCAAAAAAAGCCAGAATCTAGGGAACTTGGCTGGTGTGCTCTGACCTGATGGTGCCTCCCTCCAACACTGGCCTCATCACCCACCAACCAAGGACACCAGGGAGCCGTCTCCACTTCCCTGACTTTTTGGTTGGATTGTACTGGGTTAAATATCTGCGTGTCTCATTTCTACTAATCCGCTAACCTCGAGGATCATGGATATCCACAGTAAACTTTCGTCTTGGAAGGCACGCGCAAATTTAGCCTATCTTGTGGAAGAAAAATAGACTCTAGCCATAATTTGATAATTCTGTCTGGCTCGTCATGAAATCTGCACTTGTTATAGTCTGTACACCAGTCAGGGTACACCGTCCTTGTAGACAAGGTTTAATTTAGCCTGGAAGAGTCTAAAGGCAGGTATTCCCTTAAGAGAGCAATTCCAGTAATCCAGACAAAAGGGGAGGAGAGCTGCTGCTGTGATCTTCCTACTATCACTTAAAACCCATTGATACTTAATTTCCAGCACAGTCCGAAGCACACTGTGATTGGGACAAAGCAAGTAATGATGCACTCGGGTTGATGAGATGAGAAGACTCAGGCCCAGATATTTTTGGTAACTCGCCTGAATCACACTGCCACAAGTGAGATCAGGTATTGAATATTATGCCCAGAATTCGTGATCCCCAAAGACCACCAGGGAGCCGAGTC